CACACACACACACACACACACACACACACACACACATCGCCAGTCCTTTCCTCTTTCTCCCAAGAAAAGGAGAGTAAAAGAAACTAAAGGTAAAAGTGGGTGGAAAATAGGAAAGCCTTGAGGGGTTCCCACCTCCCCTGGAGGCCAGACCTTTTGATTTGCAAATCTTCTTTCTGAATGCTGAGGCTTCTTCAGCTGGAGGGGGCTCTGAGGGGCTCCCCTGGGTTTCCATTATGTGCACCTCTGCCTATAAAACTATCCAGGGTGGGGGGAGGGGCTGTCCTAGTTAGTGTGACAAACACTCCTCAGTGCGTTCTGTGACCCCCTCTAAAAGTGCCCGTGGTTGTAGATGGGGTCCACCCACTCTCGCTCCCTCCTGCCAACACCGACAACCGCTCCCTCCATCCCCAAGACATGGGGTCACACAGAGGGAGTAACTTTGCTGGATTATATCAGATCATAGGGTGCGCACCCCCGGCCAGCCACCTCTCACCCAGCATGGCAGGGAGCTGGAAAATTGTGTGAGCTAAGATACACCATCACATCCCCTCCTTTCTACTCTATTTTATTGATATTTATACATACATATACGGCACATGACAGGCATCCGTAAGAGAGAGCCCCGTAATTCAAGTGAATTATGCAGCCTCACCCATTTGTATGGTGAAATGCAGATTTCAACTGCTCACAGTGCCAGAGCTCTCCTCCAGCCCCTGTAAGTTGGGGCGGGTGCAAGGAACGCTATTGATTTATGATGATTTAAAAAAAAATAGAAATAAATAAAACCACGAACTGCCAAACACACAACACAGCAAGCACAAAAATCCCAGAGTCCCTCTCCTCTCTCTTTCATCCTGTGTGCAGGAATAATAAGTGTTAATTTTACACTTCATTTCTCAAAAAAATAATAGGATATGCTTTTGCTTAAAACCAAGTCAGTCTGCTGGAACCTTTCAGGCTGAAACTGTGTCAGCCCAAAAGAGGAGCGGCGGGCTTTGTGGAAGAGCATCGTGCCGAGATGATAGCTCCCTGTAATGTCCCCGGTACCGACTTTTGTCTCCAAAAGCATTTGATCCCTGGCAGACACATACTTATTTCCATACGGGTCTTGGGGGAAGCCAGAAGGAGAGAGAGCTGATTATCAGAATCCTGAAGGTGAAGCTCAGGTGCGTCTCACTGATGTCAAAGGCAGGCCTGCGCACACATTCTGAGGCCATAATTTGCTGCCCAGGAGGGAGGAGCAGCAGGCTGCAGGGGGAGCAGGCAGGGCATTGTTCTTGAGCTCTGCTGCCTTGAGAGCAATCCCTCCTCCATGTTGGTGGGTCTTGCTTGGCCCTTCTCTAGCAGGGCCCCCACCCAGGGCGGCTCGCCTAGGAATGGTGTCACAATGCAGCGCAGACCTATCTTGGAGAGAGAGAGAGAAACCAGCAACTGTGTTGGTGGGGGGCCTAATTGGCTAACTTCATGCAGGAAGCAGCAATTCAGAACACACAACCTAGAACCAGCAATACTTGGGACTTGAGTT